AGCCATGCAATTATGGTCTGGAACTGGTGCTGAGCCAAGAAGCTCTCTGTGGATCATGCTCCCCCCAAGAAAACTTCCTATTCCTGCACAATGAAGTGCACAGATTATCTTTCAACCCAGTGCCCTTGCAATGCCTCGAGTCCTTGGAGAAAGCATCACCCCACCCTGCTTTAAGAGTTTTGCTTAGGGGCTGCTTCCACATATGGCAAGCTGGGCTGACCACATTTTCCACCATCCAACTGAAATTATATACCTCTCTCTATAACCCACCATATTAGTCCTAAGCTCATCCTCAGTGTAACTTCCCTCTTGAAAACTTACAGCCTCCCTGCCTCAGTACCTTGTAGCTTTGAGTCTCTCTCCAGAGAAGCTTTACCACAAAAAAAAAGAAAATAAAAGCCAGGCACACATACATTAGAATTCTCCTCTTCGCAGTCTTTAGTTTACACCCTCTGCTTTGCATGGGGTCACAATATTTTGGCGGTGGTGAATTAAAGGCTGGGAGCTGGAGCACAATGGCTCTAAAACCAACAGAGCAAAGCTCCAAACCAAACCACGCTAAGACAGCTATTCGCTTTGGCACAAGCCTTTGTTCAGGTTCATTGTACTGGGAATCGGGCGTGATGGGAGAAGTTTGCCAGGATTTAGCATGACAGCACAGCTCAGAGAGCAGGGCAGAGACCTGGGCTTCGAAACCCTGCGGTGCTGCAGCAGGACACGCAGGTGGGGTGTAGGAGTTAACAATAAAGGAGACAGATGAATATCAGTATACCACCATACCTGGGGTTCCTCTTCTCCTAGCTTAGTACTGGAAACCCAAGAGAGGGGCAAAATGTTTCAGCTTGTCATGGAGAAGTTGGCTTGAAGGTCACGCAGACATTCAAGTCCATCACTACCTCCACAGGCAGTGGTAGCCCAGGCTGAGCTAACCCTCTCTAGGGAAGGGTACCAACTCTTGTCCAGTGCTAGGAGGAGAATTCTAAGGATGCTCTAGGAGATACAGCTGCAAACAGCAAGCTAAGAAACCATTTGCATCTTCTTGCTGTATTCAAAGCCTTGCCTGGCCACTGCATAAACACAGGTAGGTTTTCACATTAGCAGAGTTGAGAGGAAGCTGGAGTCTATCCTGCTTCACATCAGACACCAGCTCCACCTCATGCGTCATTCCTGCATGAGTCAGACAAAAGTCCCAGCACAACTTCCAACCCCCAGCAAGATTGAGAGGAGCAGATAAGGAAACAGGAACACGTTTAGTCGTAAAGAAACAACTGCATTTTGGAGCTGGAGAAAGGAAAACAAAGCAAAGAAAGAAACCCAGCAGCATCACTGCTTCATGGTTTTCTGAGGTGCCCTCACTGCCTGTTGTGTCCAAATTAACTCAGCACCTGTGTCCAGCCGGGAAGGACCCAGGGAACCAAACAGCTACATCAGAATCTGCCTTTGCACCACAAGCCTGCAGAGGGAGATGACCTGAAGAGCAGCTCTTCCTTTCAGCAGTGCCTTCCAGCAGCGGTGCTTTTAACCTGCGGGTGGAAAGGTCCAACCCACTGCTCCCAAAGGGCACTTGGGCTTTGACTTTTCACCTTTTCTAACACCAATTCTTCACCAGGTGTCAGGGCCGCAAGACTTGCACCAACAAAAGGAGCAGCTTGTGCAGAAAAACCCATTCCCAGCAGGATCCTGTTAGTCTTGGAGCTGTAACAAAGTTTTTAAGCACATCAAATTTTAACCAGGGCTTTTAAAGATTGCCTTCAAAACCAGGTCTCAAATGCGGGACGGAGCATCTCCCTGCCGGGGAAGCACGGGAACCGGCATGAGGCGACGCAGTGCAGCAGTACAGCATCTGACAGCCAGGAATCCTTGTATCCCAACTTGTCTACATATCAAAGGGAACTGCTTGCTTCAGCTTCACTCCAACTTCTCCGCACTGCCTTTGTGAATCTTAACGAGGTCTCTTGACCATTTCTTTACTGGTGCAGGAGAACTGGGTAGGAAGGGGAACAGGAGAGAAGGCAGAGATGACTCAGGACACCGTGGATGCAACATGAGATACTGGCCCCTGTTCAGCACGGTGGTGGTGCAACACCTTGTGCTACTTGAAGGATAAAAACGGGTGTGACAACTTAAAGGGCACAGATCTGGCTCCATCCAGCACGAGTCTCTCCTTGCTTTGGGCTTGTTTATTTATAGCAAGTGCAAAGAGAGACTCGGAGCAGCTCAGCAAGACCACACCTTAAAAATAAGGTGCCTGAGCACGGTCTTTCAGTCTGATGCAAAGCCCTGACTAGCACTAACCCTCCAAAGCCAGATTCTCCTTGGGTGATGAGCAAGCAAGAAACAACTGCTCCAGGACAGCTTCAGGGCACAACAGGAGAGCGACAGCTAGCCTCCAAACTGTGCATGGGGGCCAGGGGATCCGCAGGCACTGCAAAAGGATGTTCAGCCTTGCTGGGAAGAAAGATGGTACTGGCACTGCTGCCCAGTCAGGTTCCCTTGGGGAGGGCAGCATCACAGGATGAAGACAGCAAAAGAAACCCCTGAAGATGTGTGTACACCTTGTGCTACACCATACAACGTGTAGAGCCCTACCTGTAAAGGAAAGGGAGATGCTTTCTCATCAGAAAGCTGATGGGTTAGCTCACACAGGACCCCACACTAACCTGGTGATCCCCAGCCCATCAGCCAAGAGTTCCTGGGGATGCCAATCTACTCTAGGACAACACAAATGTGCATACAAATACTGTACTGAGCAGGGAGTAATGGCTAAGAGAGCACCTCATGTCCTCTCTTCTAATAGGCATTGACATGGCAGGTTAGCTAGCTCAATCTGACCTCATCATTCCCAAAAATGCCCAGCTCAAAAACCCCCTACTGTGTCGGTCATTTCTATTTCCTCTGCAGAGAGCAGCAAATCTGGTTGGGTGCCAGCTGATCAGTGGTGTTTAATGGATTGACTCGCCTATGGATTTCCTTAAAAAAAACCCTAAAACTCCAAACATTTAAATAAATAGAAGACAGGATTAAATAAATCAGCTTAAAATTACTTTTGAGCCATTCCCAGTTATGTCACATGGAGGAAATGCATCACCAGGGTCCTTTCTTCACTGCTTTTTTCAAATATTAATAAGCAGTGTAATTGCAACATGACTCACTGCAATCTCCTGCCAAGCTGGAGAGACTATCTGCAAGATGCAGGCTTTCTAGAGCGTTGCAAAGGCAGATGTGTGCTTGGGGACTCTTTTGGAAAGGTTTGCATTGTAAGCAGCAGGGTATGGAAAATGGCCAGGCAGTCGCTTGCCTTTGCAAGCGCAAGTCATTCCCTTGCTTGCTTATTCCCTTCCCTCCTCTCTTAACAACCCCCTCACACATGGGAGTTATTGCGGGATTGGGGTTTGATGCCCTGAGTGTCTAAGGCAAAGCAGATAGCGTGTGATTTTTATTCCACGAGGAAGGTCTGGCCCAAAAAACCAGCCAGGATCATTCGCAGCTCTGGGCAAGAGGTATCCAGCTGATGGTAGAAGTGCTACCAGTGCCTGGGCCAGCTGTGTGCTGAAGCTGCCAGCCTCCCACCCAAGCACTAGAAATGCTCCAGGGTGCAACGGAGAGGGGGAGAAGACGACAAAGATGCCAAAATTGAGATGACTGGAACTGGAGAAGAGGGGTGAGGAAGAAAGACAAGGAAATGGGAAAATGGTGGAGCACCTCAGGAAGGGAGCAGCCTTGGAAATGAAGAGCACTGCACTGGGAGGGCAAGATGCAGGCAGGAGAACGAAGGCAGAGCAAGCTGGCTAACATATTGCTGCCTGATTTTCTTTGCCCACTTCAAAGCTGAGTGGTTCCCCGCCAACCTGATGCCACTGGGCATCTACTGCAGCCCCACCAGGCAATGCTGGGTACTGCTTAACCACCTCACAACTTGGATTTTGCAGTGCCAGCTGGACACAATCCCCCTTGCATCTCTACAGAGCTGTTGCAAGGCACCCAAATTCCCACTCACCGAGGATCTGACCATGACCCAGACCCGTGGGAAAGAGATCAGCTCTGGGACCTGAGGCCCCAGCTGTCTTCCCAGGCAGGCAAAAAGGATTTTTAGGAGTTGACTTTGAAGGATCAACTCTCAGAGATGGAGAGTTTATGGTTTATACAGGCAGATGGTCCCAAACACACCAGCCTAACTGAGACAGCAGGGCTTTCAGCTGGGCAGCCACCTGCAGGCTCTGCATTGGGTCTTCTTCAGTTTAGCCAACAGGGTTAAACTCTTCAGTGCCAACACTGGCCAAGCCTCAGAAAATCATAGAATCGTCCACGTCCCTAAGCACCATATCTACCCATCTTTTAAATATGTCCAGGGATGGGGTCTCAACCACTTCCTTAGGCAGCCTGTTCCAATGTTTGACTACCCTTTCGGTGGAGGAATTTTTCCTAATATCCAACCTATACTTCCCCGGTGCAACTTGAGGCCATTTCCTCTTGTCCTATTGCTTGTTACTTGGGAGAAGAGACTGACCTCCACCTCACTACAACCTCCTTTCAGGTAGTTATAGAGAGCAATAAGGTCTCCCCTCAGCCTCCTCTTCTCCAGACTAAACCACCCCAGCTCCCTCAGCTGCTCCTCATCAGACTTGTTCTCTAGATCCTTCACCAGCTTTGTTGCCCTTCTCTGGACACGCTCCAGCACATCGATGTCCTTCTTGTAGTGAGGGGCCCAAAACTGAACACAGTATTCAAGGTGAGGCCTCACCAGTGCCGAGTACAGGGGTACGATCACTTCCCCAGTCCTGCTGTCCACACTGTTTCTGATACAAGCCATGATGCTATTGGCCCTCTTGGCCACCTGGGCACACTGCTGGCTCATATTCAGCTGTCTGTCAACCAACACCTCCACGTCCTTTTCCACCAGACAGCTCTCCAGCCACTCTTCCCCAAGCCTGTAGCGTTGCATGGGGTTGTCATGACCCAAGTGCAGGACCTGGCACATCTGCAGCAGCTGCAGCACTTACCTCATCCGACTCATCTGAGAGGGTCCGCAGCAAGATGGGGAAGAGGCTGTCGGTGTGTCGGAACATCTAGAACCAGAAAGATGAACGGCATCAGTCCTACAGGCCCCTGCCAGAGGACCCCTCACCCCGGGGGAGGCTGCTGAAAGCTTCACAAGTGCTTGCCATCTGAGCTGGAGAGCTCTTCTTCCTTAAGCTACTGGGTATCCAGCAGCTAAAGCCTTCTCAGAAAAGGCAGGTGGATGCTTGGTTGCAAAGCTACTAAGATAATTACAGCCAATTCAAAGGCAAGGAGCAGGCTGGGAACAGACAAGCTCAGTCCCACGGAGGAAGCAGTAGGCTCACATGCCGAGTCCCTGACCTACCTTACGAGGAGTCTTGATGTACAAGTGGTAGAGCCATTTCAGGACTGCAATTCTGGTCATCATCCCAATGGATGTGTCATGAAGGTGGCAGTCCAGCACCTGCACTATTCCATCCAGGTTCAGGGTCACCTGGATCCTCTCTGAGCTGCATGGAAAGGAGAGAGGCTGGTTCAGTGCTGTAACGTCCAGCTCACTCCTCCCACAGTGGGGAGGTCTGCAATGCACCAGAGGCTGCATCAAACATCTTAGCTCAAACCTTAAGAAACCTCAACTATCCCCTTGGCCTGCTCCTGCCCCACTCAGCCTGGTCATCCACATTTCTTATTCTGTGCATCCAGATCTGCTCGTGGCAAACCCAAGAACTGTGCTCAAGTCTTCAAGAGTTATGACAACCAGGAAGCAAGCTCCAGGCTTGCAAGCCTGTGGGGTCACGGCAGGGCATGGCCAGGTTTGCCCATGTGGCATAGGTAGCTTCTGACTGGTGTTATGAGATGGGGAAGCACAATGAGAGATACAGCAGCACACCAAAAACTTGCTTTGGAAACAACAGAAATCTTCCAGGCTTCAAGGTCTACCACTTCCTCAAAACAGCTGGTATCTACACATGACAAGACACCACGCTAGATGAATCCAGTACCACGGCTGGGTTGAGAAACTGTTGTTATATTGCAGTCACCAGGTTTGGGGTTCAAAGACTAGAGACCCATAAAACACATTCAGCCTCCAATTCAAGTTTTACTAGTTCAAACATCTCCAGAGAACATCAACCCACGTGTCTTCAAACTCCACTAGTTGGGGCCACCCAACCAGGTAAGGACATCCAGTTTCCGCTAATCCCAGCAGACTTGTGCTGAGGACTGCAGATGGTGCCCTGGCTGGCAGTGTTTTTGGGATGCAGCTCTCTGCTAAAAGGCTGCCTTGAGAACATCATCTTGTTTCCCAAAAGCCATCCCAAAAGACGAGGATAATTCTTGGTCATCAACCAGGGATGAAAGCAAATAACTCCCTTAGTTCACCAGGACATTGCTTCTTTATAACACTGACAGCCTGCAGACCCCTAGGTCTTACTATGGTGAAAAACTCCCCAGTTTTTCCCCAAATAGTTGAGACCTGCACTGGGACAGGAGACCTCAACGCAGAAGAGGTCATTTTACAGCATTTTTTTGTCCTGTTTGTGATCCTGAAGTCTACCTGATGACTTCCTATCTCCTCAACAGTAAGGACATGGGAAGTACCTGTCGCAGGAGACTAGGTTAAGGAGAGATGGTTGGAGCTGAGATGGTTGAAGCAGACCTCCAAAAGGTAGCTGCATTAAGGAGCTAAGTCACTCCTGTCCTACCCAAGCTACTGAATTATTGAAGGCTGGACCAGACTCTTGCCGATTTTTCTAACATGCACAGAGCTGCTCTGCATCTAGTTTAATAAGAAATCCTAAGGGGCAGATTTCTCATGGTATAATTTGCAAGTAGATCTGCGGCTTAATAGGATTTGATCTTCCCCAGGACACATGTCGTAAGGGCGAGACAAGGAGGCTGCGGCCCCTCACAGCCCTGCATATATCTGACTGCTTGATCTGCCTCACATAACAGATGCTGGGGTCTGCAAATTGCATTTCAAGTTGGACTAAGTTTCGCTTTGATGTTGCAAACAACCACCAAGGGCCAAATGCTCAGATGTGCAGAATCAAGGGGAAGGAGGGACCCAGAGCATGGGGAGTTTGGGAGAGGGGATGTTCAAGGGAACAGCATCCCAGGCGATGTAAGCCAGCCTGAACAGCCTGGAATCTGGTTTTCCTGCAAAACCAGCTCCCGCTGCAGCAGTGCAGCCTGCCACCCACCCGGCATGGGCCTCCCGATGGAAGAGGAGCATGAATCCTCAACCCGGTTACACTTCCATGCCAAAATACGCATCACCTGCGCAGGACAGGGTAAAAACCTCAGGATATTGCATGTTGTCAGAGGGAAGCAGCTGAAAGGATGGCACAGAGAAGCGGTGTATGAAGCCGGCTGGTTTGGAGGTGGCCTCGATGCTGTCACATCCACCAGCTCTGTGCTGCTGCGAGGCAGGCGGGGAGGACACAGGGTGATATCGTTAGAGGAGGACACTGGACTGCTGCCAGCAGAGCAACAAGCCATTTCCAGTCCGGCTTGTGCCAAAGTTGCTTGTGGAAACCTCTTCCCCAGTGATGCAGCACCCGCACGGGAGTGGGCTGTGAGCAGAGCCTGGGTGGCTCAAGTCAAAATCCACCGGAGCTGACCGCAGGAGGTGGCTGGCAGCGCTGGGCTCACCTCAAGCCAGCCAGACCCCAGCCATGCCATGTATCACTGCCCCATGGCTCCGCCAGGCTCAGCTCCTTCTAAAAGAGATGGTGGCTGGGCAAAGCTCCTTGCCAGCTATCCTCTCCCCACATCTGCTGAGATAAACCTTTTAGGGGAGTTGCCAGCGGAGAAGCAGCTTGTTTACTCAGCACAAAACTAGGGTACCATCCTGAAAGGCAAGAGGTTTGATGAACATGTGAAATTGGGCTAAAAATCTCCCACCAACCATGCTCCTCTGCCTCCAGTATGGAGCGGCACCACATTCCCGTGGCCTGCCGCCTTTCCAGGGTGGAAGACAGCAGCCAAGCATGGCGACCGCTGCTGTGGCTGCAGCTCCGAAGCGGGCTCGCAGCTTGCCCTGGCTCTCCTTAATCCCCAGGCAGTGCAGAGCGGGAGCAGCGGTAATGGCATTGCGTTAATGCGATCCTCTGGGCCTGCCACGCCGGCTCCCAGCACCAGCATCTGCAGCAGGGCAGATGTCAGATGCAATCGCTTCCATCTAACCCACTACCCCAGATTCTCCTCCGGAGGATGAACGCAGCCCTGGCACCGCCTCTGTGGTTTGCCTGTAATGGCAAGAACATGTTTTTAGGGTGAATTGAGCAACGATGGGTGCTGTACCAGGCTCTCACCTCTGGATACTGGCACCCTTAGCTCAAGCTGAGTGGTGGGGCAGGTGACCCACCCCCCAGCATGTCCCCCCATCTCAGAAAGCATCCTCCAGCATGGGAACAGAACTCACTTTCCCACCGTGTTCAACCCACAGCAATGTTTTTCACCCCGTGTCCCTTATCAACTCATTTTCTCATTTCTCCTCTTTCTTCAAGGGCTTCTACCATCTCTTTCCTCAGCAGTCGCCTTTTCTCTGCCAATGCCTGAGCTGTCATCTCCCTCCTGGCCTCCTGCCTGGCCCAGCTGCTTTCCTGACCCCATTTTCAGACAAGGTTAAGGTCTAGGCCAGGCTCTAGCCTTTAAGTGGCCTTGCCAAGGGTGGAAATATCCAGGTTCTTTCATTGTGGTCCAAGTCACAAGGGCAGCTCCCATACGGGCTGGCAGCTGTGCTGCTCAATGGGCTCGAGCCAGCGGCCAGGAGGTAAATAGCTCCTCTCTGCTATTGGTCCCACAAGCTGTCGCTTTCTCATCCTCCATCACTCTCATTTCAGCGCTCTTGGCTTCCTTCTGCTTACTGTGGTTTCCAAGTACTGGAAGTGCCTGCAGCACCAGCGCAAGCTCATCTCCCAGGAAAGCGATGAAGCTAAGGTCTAGGCAGAGGCATCCAGTCTAACAAGCTGTAGATCACTGCGACAAGGGCTGGGGCAGCATGCCCGAGGTCCCCCTCCTGCTCATCCACCCAACAGCGCAGTGGGAGCAGTGAAGGGAACCCATCTCCTTGCTCCAGGCTGGAGAGGAGGGCCAGGAGGAGCCTCCCCAAGAGGACACCCTGGACTTGAAAGCTGCAGCAAGGCAGACTCCACCAGACAAGCTGCTGGAGAATGGGACTCCAAGGCAAGCTTGGTGCTTGAGCTCAAAACAAGCCATCACGTTGCCTTCAGCCAACCATCCCCTGGGTGCTGCGGGGCACCCAGCACCATCCCTACCCTCCATCCAAGCGTTCACCACCTTGATGAGGTCCTCAGCTCACTGGCTGCACCCCCAAGGCATGTCGGGCTCTGGGCATGGCGTTACAGCAACTTCCAGCATGAGACAAGCAGCAGCAATTTTAGCTTTGTACTAAGCCCTAACTACCACCTTTAAAAGTCCAATTTAAATGCAGCCTTGGGCAGTTTAGCCACGTGGCAGCAAATTGCAGAGCAACAAGCAGCTTTACGTGTCCATGTACTGCTGAACACCACCCAAAACAAGAAGCCTTCTTTGCATCAGGAAGGACCACAAAAGCTCTTCTGGAGCCCCCGTGTCCCTTACCTAGTTTGGTGAGGGACTGTGGTCCCATCACCCTTGTCCAACTGCCATGCACCTAACCCAGGCAGCCCCGCTGACTGCTTGCTAGCCGTGCCTGACCATCCACCTGGCAGTATGGTTAGGAAGTTGTCTCAAACCGTCCAGGTCTTGTATTGAAACCCCGATGCAGTTACACAAGCCTAAAAGGCAGTCTCCAGTTGTTTTAGTCCAGCGATGCAGGACAGATGTCTGCATCTTCTCCTGCAGCAGCTCCGACTGATGGAAGGAAGCCCAGGCTCTGCTCCAGCTGCCACACTTCCACCTCCCCTTCCTGAGCTGTGCTCACACCAGCGATCGCAGCATCGGCGGGGTCAGCTAGGCCACAGGAAGGCTCCAGCGCCTCTGAAACACGGTTCTGGTCCACTTCCAATGACAGTTTTTGCAGAAGCTGGAAGCAGGGACCCCCACCTGCACGGGGAGCCCTGCAGTCCCTCCAGCCCTGCACAGCCAGGCTCTCCCGGGAGCCAGTTTCTGTCTCGGCACAGACACGGTCCCCATTTCCTAACAAATGCCACTAGGAAGCTGGCAATTACCCTGGAAGCATTTTGGATTGCCAACAGCACGTTTTAGGAGTGGGGGTGTATGCATGTCAGTTTGTGGCCATAGGAACGTGCCCAGCATCCGTCTATCGAGCATTCAGACCTCGTCATCTTCTTGGATGGCAACTTTATGGAAGACATCCCCTCTGCAGATGCCAGGCTGTGAGCTCCTCCACCCCTGCTGACCGAGGTCCTCCTCCTTTCGCCACTGCTGCAGTGCTATCCCTCTGCAGACGTCTGCGCGGGGAGGGCAGGAGAAGGGGGCGTGAGAGCTGGACGCCTGGCGCTGGGCCATGCTCCATCACTCGCTCGCCGGGGAAGACTGGGGGAAGCGGGGGGAGAACGAACAAAAACACAAGCAAAGAGTGACTTCATCTTAAAAGGCAGCTGCAACTTCCTCTGTTTGCAGGCTTTCCAGCTTTTCAAAGCAATGCAACAGTTTCCTGCGGTCTTGTCTTGACACCCAGTGGGCATTCAGCATGCAGGCAGCTGCCTGCTCCCTGGTGTGAATTACGGCTGCAACTGGCTACAGGTGCCAGCTCTCGCCTTCCTCCGGCTCCAGGGCTGAGCCAGACAGCCTGAGCAATAGGCGGAGCACCAGGCAGATGTCCAGGGCTCCTGTCTGCCACGTACAGCCCCCCAACCCCATGCCAGTCCCCCTCGACTGGTGCCATGGCAAAAATCTTTCAGGTCCCAACGCTGGGGTAGCAGAGAGGTCAAATAGGACGAGGAAACGGGCTTCGGGGCAGGTAAACCCCAGGATATACATCTCCTGATGTATAACCAGATAAACATCTGGTGTTTAACCCCCAGATAAACATCTCCTGTTAAAAGGGCTTAGGAGGGCTCGAGAACAAGTACCTCTGTAAAACCAGATCTCTTAGAGATGCGAAGGGTCTTGCCTGCTGTCCCAGATTGTTTTCCCAAGAACCTGGGGATCTGGCAGACCGCTTCAGCTTGAGCAGCTGTTCTCCTCCTGCCTTTCGGTGACACTGTGACCAAGTCATTCCAGCTCTCCCTGCTTCTGTCCCCCTTCAGTCTTCACTCCCCCTCTCCCCCAGGTACAAGCTCTTCAGCACAGAGATGCAGTTATCACTTGTCCTCCTGGACTTGGCACCTCTCCATTTCTGTTCCCTTCCCAATTTCAAGCCCTACGCACACCCACTTCTGCGACTGCTAAACTTCAAGGGCTGAGCACAGCCAGGATGCAGCAATCACAGGAAAGCCGGGGAAAACATTTTAACAGCCATAAAACAAAATCTAGGCACAAATGAAAAGAGCTGTACTTTCAAGAGAGGAAAAAATTAAGGGCATCATTAAGACCAGGGAGTAGCTGGGCTTTGCAGGAGTGCAAAAAAGGAATGGCAGGTACAGACCATCAGCCTGAAAAGCTGATGCTTGCGTTGCTCTGGGATGTGTTATGATGGGCATCACACATCAGCCTCGCTGGTAGGATGCATCCTATTTTAGGGACCACAACAACAAATAAATATATGCATCAGCACAATAAAAATGTTGGAAATCATGACCTCTGAGGAAAGGAACTGCAGGCAGCAGGAGGAAAGGAAAGATGCGTTATAAGAGCAGATGGATTTGTCCCCAAACTCACCGACAGCTGGATGGGAAGAGGCGTATTTGCAGGAGAGATGATTTAGATGAGATATTGGGAGAGATTGTGCCGGGCACGGAGCTGCTCTCTGCAGGTGTGGGGCTGACTAATGCCAGGCAAGGCTGGCAGGGGGACAGGCTGGCAGCAGGCGCTCGCCTCTCCGGCAGCTGGAGCTGGACGGCGCAGCCCCAGGTACAGCCTCACAGCACCGTACCGTGGTGGGCTGCCAGGACTGCAGATCAGAGGGCTGTGGTGCCCAGAAGCCAGGGTCAGCGCTCTCCAAGCTCTTCTGCCAGCCCCAGACGGTTCATGTACCACCTTCTCATGAGGTCTCTGCACCTCTGGCAGACCAGCACACCACTGTTTCGCTACCACCATTCCTCTACAAAGGCAGGAGGGAACCAAATGCCTCCTATTTTAGCCAAGCTAGAAGAGCCATAACCAAGCCAACCATCCATCTTCACCCTATCATTCAGCCAGAGTGCCCAACCATGGGTGCTTGAAGACAGGTGAGATGCAGAACTCCAAGTGCACAGACACTCACTGCCTCACCAGACCTCCCTGCGTGGCTTTGCAACGTCTCCTGGGGACGCAAAGACCTCAGTTTACCATAAAGTCAAGGTGTTTTGGTGCAAATGCATCAGAGTCAGGCAGTCAACTCCTAGAGCATCCCCAGTCATCCACCCCACTGTGGCTCAGGAGACCCCAACTGCTTTCCAGCCCAGACCATCCTTCCCTGAAGTTTTGTCAGCATCTGTCAGTCATTGTCTGTACCCCGAGAAGCCTTCCCTTCTTCTCAAGCCCCTCTGAAGCAACAAACAGACCGTACCTGGTTACTGTGAAGACACTGCTGTTGCTGAAGTTGGAGTCACCGGACGCATCCAGAGAGCCTGGGGACAGATAAAAAGGAGCTGCAGTTAGCGGGACAGCAGGAAAGGCACAGAGCAGGACTGAGAGGCTGGAGAGCTGCATGACCTTCTGCAAAGACATCACCAGCCATTGTTTGAGGGTCCGGGGACCCTGAGGATTCCTTCTGCCTGCAGTGAGCTTTCTACACTCCTTGTCAAGCTCTTCTCCACTGCCAGAGGTACTGGATGAAGCTGGTACAGGACTGCACTTACCCAGCAAAATGCAGGCTGCACAGCTTCAGACCTCTGCCCCAAACTGGGTCTCCCCCTCTGTAATGGAGATGCAGACACATCCTTCTGATGGTTTCAACCATTCCCAAAGAAGGAGCTCAGAACTTCAGAGCTGCCTTCCATCATCCAGATTTCAATGCCTAGAGATACCACACAAGCACAGGAAAGGCTGAATCCAACCCAGGACATCTCCACCCAGCCAGCTCTCCCACAGCATGACTCCATGTGGAAGCCAAGTGACCCAAACAGCTTTCCAACCTCTGCTCTGTGCTAAAATTGGGTCTTACAAGCACGGTGACAAAGCATGACAGGATGAACTTGACTCTTCATGCCCCCTGGTGCCAACTGCCTCTACTCACACACGCAGTGGCACCGCCACATCAGCACAACCAGGGAGCAGAGCTGAGAGTTTGTGATGCAAAAGCATCGCAGGTTTATCTGATCCTGCCTGCTTCAAGGTGCAATCCAACCCCAGAGGGGTAGGGATTAAAGCAATTAAACTTTCTGTTGATGTTTTAAAGCTCTTCTGCAATAGATTTTAATAAAAGGAGGTATTTTGGGGATAAATAAGAAATAAAAAAGAACATGTTTCGCTGCTGTGCTACAGCAGTACGTTTTTCCCCTCCAAAAAATGCTACTGCATTGGCCGGGAATCGAACCCGGGCCTCCCGCGTGGCAGGCGAGAATTCTACCACTGAACCACCAATGCTGCTCTATTTGTGGCCTGCACGCCCTGCCTGCCCACTCCTGCCCATCTCACAGGCTGCCACTCGCCTACTGCCCCACGCAGCTCCCTGCCTCCTCATCTTCGACCCGGCTGCTGTTGTACAATAAAACCCTTCAGCCTTTTAATTCTCACCTTCTCGCTCCCTCTCACGGCAGGATTTTCCAAAAGTCGCTTGCTAATGTGTTGCAGAAGAGCATTGGGCTGAACATGCAGCCCCAGAAGAATAAAATGGATTAGCCTATGTGATTTAAAAGTTACATGTATTTCACATGCCTGGACAACAAATATGTGCCAGAAGCAGCATCTAGTCATTCCAGGACAACAGCATCAAAGGGATGCTGGAAGGCTAAAGCCGCTGTTTTCAGGCATCAGTCTGCCAGGACCCTCTCTGTTTAGTTTCTTCTCACTTGAACACTCTTCCAGGCCTCCCATCACGCTTGCAACCTTTTGCCTTTTCTCTTCCGGAAATTTTAGGATGGGGACAATACCCGTTTGATGGTCTCAAGAGCACCATGAGTTTGGATAGGACCCAAAATTCTTCTCCTTTCTGTTCGCTACCCTTCCCCAACACAGACATCCTCCAAGCATGTGTTGATGCCCTCTGGGACTAAAACAGCTCTCTGAGCTCTCCTTTAGGTGATGGTATCTCCTCCCAAACCAGCCCCTGCAGGACAAGTGCGCTATTCCCTTCCTATGTTATGCAGCAGACACTAAACGTTTAACTATAAATTATGTTTTTCAGGTCAACTTAATGACTAAGTGAGGGGATGGGGATGCTCACCAGGGAACGCAGCACTACAGCATTGCTTGGGCTCCAGGCCGGATCAGTGACCACACTACACAGACAGTGCCGCTCTGTCTCAGCAGAGGATCATCTGTGAAACAGGACTCCAAGGCCCAAAGAAAGCACAGAGGTCCCATGTGCCCCGAGCTGCCCCAGGACACCAAACTAACTCAAGAACTTCTCTTGAGGACCTTGCCTTGACCCTCCTCACATCTCTAATGGCTCAAACCAATGGGGACTCACCGCTGGATGCTGCCTCTGGCTTGGAGAGGGACTCCTCTGAGGCAGGCTCTGCCAGTAGGGTCATTGACTGCTTGGCCTCATCCATTTCATCGTCCTCTGGGATGACCAGCTTCATCAGGCTCTGGTTGCACACATTCGCCACCTCCTTGATGTCTGAGTGGAGGCACTGTAAGGAACACGCAGTCCCACACGCGGCTAGGTGCCACATCTCACCAGCCACGGAGAAGCCACCGCAGCCCCACCAGGACTGCCCCAGACCAGCTATTGCAACCCCCCTCATGTCCAAAGGGCTGGTGTGGGTTTTAGCACGTGGTGGGAGGACTTCTCCTGGCCCTCTCCAGCTGTGCAGCTGGCCCTGTGCCCCAGGGGCAGGAAACAGGCGCTTCCCTCCGGGTTGCTGTAGCAGGAATGGGAGCAGCTCCAAGTTACAAGGATACTCTTCTTGCGATCATCATAGGAGAGACACGGCAGGACAGCGGTCAGGATCCCTGAGGAGTAAGGCAGCATCACCCGGCCAGCCAGCTGGATGAACTCCCTCATCCAGCACATGGCTGTCAGCTGGATCAGGTCATCTGGAAGACATGGGACAAGCAAAGGTGAGGGAAAGGACAGCACTGGCAGCCAAGCAAACTCCACAGGCTAAGGACTACCTGCAAGCAGAGAGCTGCCTCTGCTCCATCCAGACTCACAAGTCCAGAGAGACCCTAGTCTGGGACAGTTTAGTCCCAGAGGAGACAGATAAGACCTGAATCTGCAGTGAGGCTGAGATTAAACACAACCATTAGGTTTCGGAGTTAACCCAGTTCAACCCATAATCCAGGTTTCCTCATTTACAAGTCTTATGAAGAGCGGCTGAGGGAGCTGAGGTTGTTTAGCCTGGAGAAGAGGAGGCTGAGGGGAGACCTTATTGCTCTCTACAACTACCTGAAAGGAGGTTGTAGCGAGGTGGGGGTCGGCCTCTTCTCTAACAAGTGA